TAGGGGTGTGGCAACCTAGTGAAGTGGATAGGTTGTCAACCCCCAAGTGGCAGGTCTAGAGTTCAAATTCCAGTGACAATGAAAATTTGCAATTTTTTCTGTGTTATGGCTAACTGTCTTCTGTGATTGGTTAGGATAGGATACCTGTAACCCATGTCATATCAGCATGACTGGAAGGTCTAAGGCATTCATACAACATTGTATAAGGGAACACAAACCAGTAGCGGGTGGTGTGAATCTAAGATAAGTCCTTAGGCTGTGTAAATCAAAGGAACCAGATAGGAAGATAAAAGCCCACTTAAAAGACCTGAGTAGAGAGATAACCTGAACCTTCGATGGTACTACTGTAAAGACTAGACTTATGAAATGGAGCTAGAACTTGTGAAACTGGGCAAATATGCTGGTCTTTGAGAAGGGACCAGATGAACCAACCAGGCTGCCAGAATTTTCAGATTCCAGAGAAAAAGGATATATGCTAGCAAACATGTGAACCAGAGGTGTATAGTTTTGACCTATCTTTCTGGACTATCTGAAATGGCAGCTTGGTAGAACTTAAATTGAATACCAAAGTAGTAAAGATATGTTGTGAAGTCAGTATCAGGATTGGGGTGAACTCTACAAAGGCATAGCGGTTTAATGATATGCCCTGACTGCCAGTGTTGGTCTTAGCCATAGTGATATCAGGTCAACTGTAAGAATAGGATACAGAAGATTCTGGAAGGTTTAGTACAAGGTCAAAGGTTCCCCATATAAGTGAACCACTTTAAAGACTTAGTGATTATGGCATATTTGAACCGGTATCGACTGGGGCATCTTGGTAGGTGTAGATAGGTGGGTGGATACAGGAACAGAGTGGTTAAATAGGGAACCTACAAGTAGGTTCCAGGTATGGCAGCTAGTGTAGAACCTTCAGGCAGACTACTTAAATTAGACAATGACTAAAGTTGTATGAGTGGCTAGTTGTACACTCTTTCCATGGTTGCCTTCTGTGGTTGTAATACAACCATTAGCTGTATGTACTATCAATAAAATCTTGAGTCACAAGTACTCACCTTAATATTTAAAAAAAAAACAAAAAAATATCAGATAAAACTTAGCTTGGTATATTTAAAATTACAGATTCATAAATTCAAATGATTATTAGAAGACAGTTACTATAACACAAATATAATTTTTAAATTTTATTATAAGTAAGATTTGAACATTAAACCTGTTACTTAGAAGATAACAATTTAACTATTGTATTAGAATTACTATTCTTTAAAAATAATTTACTTAAATACTCAAAATTATTTACTTAATATTAAGTAATAATCAGTTTTGTAATGTAGAATAATTAGTATAATTAATTATCAAAAAGAATTAATAATTATTAAATATAACAATATATATAACTTAGTAAATTATATAAATATTTTTTAAAAAATAATGAACCTCATATAAAGTTGAATTGTTATCTTTTAAGTAATAGGTCTAATATTCAAATTCTATTTATAATAAAATTTAAAAATTAATCTGCATTATAGTAACTGTTTTTAGTTAATTAATTAACTTTATATAGTTGTAATTTAGATATAACAAGTTAGGTTCTACCTGTTATTGAAAGCTTAGAGCATTTATATGAAGTGTAATATTCTATATATATTAATAAATATTATTAACTAGTATTATATAAAATTTTAGTACAAATTTATAATAAAATTATTAGATATAAAAAACTAAAAAACTAAGAAGCTAAAAACTTATTTGAAAATTCATAAATAAAAAAGTAGCATAAACTTTTAATAATAATATTAAACTAGTTAAAGTCTATAAATTACTCTCAAAAAAATAGATTAGATAAACTAAACACAAAATATATATAAAAGTATATATAATTAATTAGTTTATTAAATTTTATTAAAAGAAAAGAATACAAAAATATACTATATCAGATTATTTAAATTGATAGTCTGTTTAAAATCTGTTAGTTCTAAGTAATAATTAGTAGAAGATAATAAAAAAGATATTAGAAAAATATATATTAAGATCTTAGTAAACTTACAAAAGTAAAAATAATATAATATAGTATTTAAACAGATAACTTCTGTAACTACAAGTATTAAGTAATTATAACATGTTATATAAAATTAAATTAGCATATATAAAACATACAAGCTCTAGTAAGTTTCTTATCAATAATAAATAATTTTAAAGGTACTAATAAAAATTAAAAACTGTATTTCTATAATACAAAAAAATTGCATATGCAAAGGGTTTAAATAAACAAGACCTATAGTTGGCTTACAGATATAGTAACTAGTATAAAACTTAAATAATAATATATTAGACATGTTACTTAAATTAGATACCAAAAATGCACATATGACTACTTGTAATCTCTAATATAAGAGGGTCTTTAAAGGTACTTGTATCTAATAAAAATTTAAATAAAAATTATTTTTCAAAAACAAAGACTTTAATACAAAAAAATAAATAAATAAAAAATAAATATTTTTTTATATACTTAATATAATAATAAATATTATAGTATTACTAATTATATTTAAACTTATTTTTTTTTATTTAAATATACTAATTCATTTTATATAGATAATATTAATACTTATATTCAAAGTGATTACAAAATTTTAATATCTTTTTAAACATTTTCTTATATATTTATAGAAAAAAAACTATTTAACTTAAATCTAATATTGAACTTTTAACTATAAAATTATAAACAAAAAGTAAAAAAAAACTTTTATTAACCAAATTTCTTTTAACTTTATTACAATTAAAACTTTTTTTTCTATTCAAACTACTAAATTTCTTAAAACTACCTAATATAAAATTCAAACCAGTATTATTAATACAATTATTAAAGTATTTCTAACAAAAAAACTATAATTTGCAATTTTTAACACTTATTTTTTACTAAAACCATTTTGTTTTATTTAAATTTTAAAAACTTAATAATATTATAAATAGGTTAAAACCTCTTTAACCAACATAATTTCAATATTTATACACTTTAATTCTACTATTCTTTATCTTAACTCATTAACTTAATATACTTTTTATTCCTAACTCTTATAAGCTTATACCAAGCTGAATTACTAATAACATAAAAAACATTAAACAAATTGAAATTCGTATAACCTAAGCTTTCAGACCAATTAATTATATCTCAAAATTACCAAATTTTAATAAATTTTACTAATAAACCTGCTAACCAATAAACTAAGTTGTAATTTTGCAGGTCCGATCCGAGGACCGAATCTGAATAATCCGATCGAAGTTCGGAGGCTCGAATTACACGAATATCAAAAAAATTTTGAGGATATGTTGATGTAAATCAGGTCACGTGACACATACTATTTATCAATCTCGCAAAAATCTAACATTAATTCTAAAATGGTTTCACTCAAATTTCTAAATGTTATAAGTGTTATTCCTCGTATTCCTCATAAACAATCATCTACATTTTTTACTTCTTCTCAACAACAAATATCAAGTCGTTACACTTCTTCCGTTTCTCCTTTTGAAAAAAGTGGTAGAAATCGCATTAGTCCCAAACCTACTACAAATGATACTGAAGGAATTGATTCCTTTCTTTTAAATTTTGCAAATAAACAAAAACATAATGGATTAGAGAGCGCTGAAGATTTTAATGATTCTGATTTAAGTTCTTCATCTCCTAATCCTTTACTATCAAAATTTGCAACTTCTACGAAATCTGATACTACTCAAAAAACTTCTGGTTCTGACGTAGCAAAACTCTTATCCGATTTTTTAGTACCATCCGAAGAACTTTATCGCATTCATATTCACGCCTCTTACAATAATACTATAGTCTCATTAACAAATTCTCGTAAAGATGTATTAATTAATTCTTCTGGTGGACTTGTAGGTTTTAAAAAAGCTCAGCGAGGTGGTTATGAGGCTGCTCATCAAGCTGCCGCCGCCTTAGTCGAAAAAGTCAAAGAAAAAGGAATTAAAATTAAAAATGTGGAGGTTTTGATAAAGGGTTTCGGTCCTGGAAGGGATGCTGCCTTTAAAGCTATCGCTTCACCTGAAAATCCTTGGACCGTAAAGAGAATTACCGATTCTACACCATTGCCATTTGGTGGATGTAGGCCAAGGAAAGCTAGAAGATTATAATTATGATCTGAACTTCTTACTTTATTTTATCAATTTATCCGTATTACAAAAAAAAACCTATTGTGATAAACTGAAAATTTAATACCATTTTAATTTGTTACATAATTGTAATTCATAATGATAATTTATCTTTATAATACACCTCATCAGGTGGTCTTATCTTTCTCGCTCATTTGTCGATAATGAATATCAGCTTTATGTAAAATTTCATCATTTTCTGCTTCTGTTTTTAATGGCGACGCGTATCCCATATCAGATAAAAATTTCTATAATTACCATCAATCATCATGATCTTTAGAATTTATACATTGATATGATAGAAATATGGAATTTCTTGACTAATTTATAGGATGCAAACCTTTTGTTGTTCCATACAATTCCAAAATTTATCTCTCATATTAATACAAAGTGTAAGTCTATCCCAAAGCTTTCCTTTTTTAAAACATTCTTGTAATTCTGTATGAACTTCTGAACAGTTAATTAAAGTAGCATCGTAAATCTCCTTTTTTCTATCCCAAAAATCTTGTCCTATTTCTTTAATCTTTGCTTGTGTTGTAAGACGTTGTTGTTTTAATTTTTCTTGCTCACTTAATGAACTATCTTGTGCTATAGAACTGTGACTAAAAATATCTGTAAGATGAATCGGTGATTTAAAGAAATCGAAAAAAGATGTGGTTTTGGAATTTTTTGGTGTAGATGTATCTGAAGTTTTATTGGAAAATGTATAAGGATTTCTTTCAATTATTTTTGGATCATATGTTGGTTGTGATGTTTGAAGAAAATCTCCTAAATATTCATTAATGTTTTCTACATTAATACGTTCTGATGTTGTTTCGTTGCCATTATTATTTTGTGAATTCGTTGACGCCATAACGAAATTTTCGTTATTTCGAATTTTAACATTCCTTTTAAATATATTATGTCTACGTCCAATAAAAATTTAACTTGATTTTAGCCAATAAAGTTTCGATATCAGAATGTCTTATCGAATCTTAAACTTTCTCATGATTGGTGGATCACATGAAATTGAATCTTGAGCCAATAAAATTATACTGGTAAAATCAGTTCTATCGTTATAACAAAAAAAAACGAAAAAGGTCAAATATATTTTCTTAAACATATATATTTTTCTAAAGCCTATTTAATTTACTATATTAAATAAAATAAGATCTAAAAATTTATAATTACTGTATTATAATCAACGTTTATTATAAAAAAATTATTAAACTCATAGAGTTTTAAAATCTTTAAAGTTTTTAAAAGTAGGAGTACGTAAATTATTTGTTATATGATTTTAGTGGTACAATAAGTTTTTTTTTTAAGTTAAAGTCCCTATCTTCGGGATGCGACATTTTTATTCAAGTATATAGAACACGGCATGCCACCAGGGGTTACCTTACAATGGAGGTTACAACTAACCATATGTGCACTTTTGGTGCCTAATTTAAGTAGTTCACTTATACATTACTATATAAGTTCTACACTAGATGTCATACATATAAGTTCTACACTAGATGTCATACTTACAAGCCAACTAGAGGTCTTGCCTATTTAAACCCTTTGCATATGCAATTCTCCTTGTTTCATGAGAACATCTTCAAGGTTACACCCATCCAAGTTTTCAATACTGATTGGTATCCTTAGGATTATTTTATTCTTGACAAAAAACTTACTAGAGCTTATATGTTCTATACTTACTGACCTAGTTTTATGTAACATATTATAATTACCTAACATTTGTAATTATAAAGATTACTTGTTTAATCATTATGTTATATTATTTTTATCTTTATAAAGTTCATTAGAATTTCAATACTTATCTTTTTAGCATCTTTTTTATCATACCTTACTAATCATAATTTAGAACTAGCAATTTCTCCTAGACTACCAATTCAGATGATCTAATATAGTATACTTCTGTATTCTTTTCCTTTAGCAAATCTAGCAGCCTGGTTGGTTATATATTTCTCTACACATATTTGATGTTTAGTTTAATTTTCAGTTCTTATAAAGATATTTCATAGGTTTCAATTAGTCTAATAATATTATTAAAAGTTTATGCTATCTCTTTACTTAAAAATTTCTAAATAGATTTCTGTTATTTCAGTTTCTTAGTCTTCTAGGCCTAGAGAATTATTATGGATTTGCATCAAAGTCTTATACAACACTAGTTATACATTTTTCTATATATATATAATATTACATTTTATATAAATGTTCTAAGCTTCTAATATTGGTAGGATTGACTTGGTATATTTGGGTTACAGCTACATAAGGTCAACCAATTGACAGAAGACAGTTATCATAATACAGATATAATTTTCAAATTTATTTAAGTAATTTGAATCTTAGACCTACTACTTGGAGGATGACAATTCAACCACTATACTAGGTTTGTCATCCTGTGATACAATAAGATTTATATAAAAAATAAAAATATGTTACTAATAAAACTTTCTTATAATTATAATTATTTTTAATTAAAAAATTTTTTTTAATATAATATAATTTTAGTATATAAAATATTTTTTAAAAATTATACTTTTATATATTATAAAGTCTTTTTTAATTAGTTCAAATTTGTTTTTTTTTAAATATTAAAAATAAGATTATATTTTTATTTTATTAAAATTAACTCATTAATACATATTCTAATTCAAATCCTTAACAATATTATTGAATATTATAAATACTTTAATAAAGAAACATGAATAATGTTTCAAGATATATCCAAAGTTTTTGATAAAATTAATATATCTCAACTTCAAGATACTTGTAAAAGAATTGATATTTCTTTATAAAGAATTTAACTTATTACTAAACTTCATACAAACTAATAAGCAAGAATTATTACTGAATATAGGCTTATATCATCTGTTCATATTAAATTAAAAATTAAACAAGATGAAAACTACTCACTTTTATTCTAAAAAATCTACTATGATCCTATTCTTATCTTCATTTACAACAAATATAATAACCATCTATTCAAAATTATCTTCTCTTTATCTCTTAATATCATTTCAAATATTCTATCATCTTCTATAACAATATCTCCTATAACCTTTATAGATGACACTGTTTGGCACAGTAAAAGTTCTAAATCTCTCCAAAATATTCTTAATCATACTCAAATACTTTATAATTTAAATAATATTAAAATTAATCTGACCAAATCTGACCTTATATATATTTCTTAAAACAAAAATAAACTAAATCTTATTACACCAAATCTCTATTACAATAATCAAATAATACTTTTATATAAGTTTTATAAAACTATATAATAGCTTGGTATCTATTTTAATGAAAATGACTTAACTAAACCAACATATGAAATACTCTAAAATAAAATTGAAAACTTTCTTGGTCTAATTAAATTTAAAAAACTTTTACCTAAACAAATCTTTATTCTCTTTAATATAATACTACAATTATCTTTAGAATATTTATTATAAATCTTATTAATTTCAAAAACACAATAACAAAAACTCTCATATCTACTCTTTATTACAACAAAAAAAATACTTCATTTCACAAAAAATATATTTAATACTTTTCTTACTAATTTATTATTATTTAAACTTCTAATCCTTTAACATTTAATTCAAAAAATAGTAATATCTATAATGGAACATATTTTTTATACTACTTCTCTTCTTAAACATATTGGTATAATCAAAATTAAAAATTAGCTAACTAAAATATGATAATTTTTTTTTCTTCCAAATACTGCTTCCAAGTTTTCATTAAAAACAAAAAATTTTATATTCATCTTTTAACTTTTATTTTTAAATAACACCAATATTTTTCTTTTACTTAATAACTCACTAAACTTACTGCTAGTTAATATTCTTATATCTACAAAAACAAATATACGATATTCTTTCATCTAATAATTCTAATTCATTAATTAACAGTCTTCGAAACAATAAAATACTCTTTATTAAACAACTTACAACAGCTGATACTTTATATATTCTTCTATAGAACAATATATACAGTATATATATACCAAAAAATCTACTTATGGACCTACTTCATCTTGGTTTATTAAACTTTTCAATCTTATTCAAAACAATACAATTTCTCAAATATGACTACATCTTAACTTACTAAATATTAATATCTTTATTAATTTCTTTAACACAATCACTTTTTATCACTTATTATTATTAAATAAATAGTTAATTGTTTTTAATAACTTACAAATTCTCTTTACAAAAAATTTATTTAACTTTTTTTTCTTTCATAATATCTCTTTTGATTTAATATTCCTAATTCCTACTAACTTACCTACACCAATATTTCAAACTTCTATTAATATTTTTTATATTAAATCACTAAAAAAGAATAACAACTATTTACAATCATAAAATTCATGCACTTATTAATATTCAATAACATGTAATTTCAACTTCGATATTATCTCAATTACCAACTATTTATATCTTAATATAGAAATTTAAATAATCCAAAAAAACATATCTTTCTCTTATTACCAAAACCAACCTACTAATCTATTCCTATTAACTAAAAATCTTCTAAATAATACTTATTTCTATACAAATGCTTTAATTATTAATACACAAACACTACATCTAAAAATTAATATTGTATGGATCTTTGAACATAATACTTAAATCAAATTTAACTGTACAATATCTTTATACTCTGATTCTATTTAAACAAAACTTGAAGCAATTGTCTATCTTCTACTCATTCTCCTAATAAACTCATAAACTAATATATATTTTGACAATCTAACAGCTTAAAAAAACATCCAATTATTTTCTTTTTTATATAAATTTTTATATATTAAAAACTGAGATATTTTATTTATTATCTATTATTTTATTTAAACAAAATCTCTCAAAATCTTTTTTTACAAAGTTAAATCCTAATCTAATAATTCTTTTTATAATCAAACTGATCTTTTAGCTAAACAAAATACTTCTAAATACTTAATTAAATCTAACTTTACAACATTACTTCCTAAT